ATATCAATATGCAATATTTCCGAAATTGCATTATTTAGGATTAATGATTGCGATTAACGTTTCAATATTAGATCATAAGCAGAGAAGAGTCTGTAACATAATATTTTATAATTATGTTCAGCTAGAGATATTTTGGTTTAGTCGCTTTTGTAACTATATATTATGATATTGGATCATAAATACCTGTTTCACAGTTTGCTGAGTCTTTACTCATGATAAATACAGAGATTTAAGAGAAATCTCTATTGGGGAAAACAGTAGGTGCTATCAATGACCACACATAAAGGCCCAAACACATCCATGAGGAAATAATTTTTACCCACATCGATGCAGCGTTCGAATTTAACGTATCCAGATTGGAGGAGTTAGGTCTGTAAAAATATATGGTAATGTTAATATATATTAAAATAATATATTAATAGTTTAGCTCTACACTATTATAGACACGCACCTGTACCAGTTTGTAAGTGTCATCATAACGTACAAAGTAGCGAGAGCGAACATGAGATGGAAGAAACTCCAGTTGTATGCTACTTTTTCTTCTTCATTGTCCCAGACTTTGGCATCATTTCCACTTTCGGCATCGGCATTACGTCCTTCTACTTTAGTATAATCTGGTTACATTTAGGAAAACGAGGAATAACGAAAAAAGGAAAAAAATATACTATCGTATTGCAAATGAGTGGACTAAACCAGTGCTCGGAATTATTTGTATAATCGAGAAGATTTTCGAGAGCTGCACCTACTTATTTTCCTTTGTCATTTCAGTTCAATCGACGGACCTCGCGACTGTTAGTCGGATGATCTAGGCAAGAGAAAACAAGTAAGCGTAGCTCTAAAAAATCGCTTTAATTATACGAATAATTCCGAATACTGGACTAAATAATATTTGTAATAATAATATTCGAATAATAAGTTGGCAAACATAATAAATCGAAAATAAAATGAGTGTGGGAATAAAGGCAAACACACACTAACTACTAAGCAAATATTAAATTGCATGATTTGATACTATATATACTATACATAATGAATAGATATATTTTCTATTAAATTATATATTCTATTATAAATTACATATTTCTCTATTAAATCATATACATATATATATATATATATATATATATATATATATATATATATATATATATCATATATATATACACAAGATGTTCATTTTAAAAATTCCCACTTCAATGTTCTTAAAAATATATGTTCTACGAAAAAATGTATAATATAAAAGTTGTAGAGTTTTGAAGGGATTTATGTATGTGTGTGTAGTTGGGTGGGTGGGTGGATGGGTGTCGTGTGACAGTCCTCAGTCCTTATCTGTTCCGTAACTTATCATCGTAAATATCCACCCATGTATCCATCCATGCACACGCACGCACGCACACGCCACGAAAGAGGTAAATCCGACCGAGCAACCTCCGCGTAGTACACTTTGCGTAATGTTAATGCTGGTAGTATTGTAACTTTCAAGTTCAATTACTCAAAAAGTACTTAAAAAATACATTATTATAATGTTTTAAAAAGCTCTCGAGATAAGTTATAAGAATATGCAGGAAAAAGTAGGAAGTTCCATTTAAAAAATTCAAGTTGACTTTGGCATGACCTTAACGACTCCATTCAAAGTCAGACAAATAGTAGTTTTTTATGACCCCCTCAAAACTCTACAACTTTTATATTAAACATTTTTTTGTAGAACGTATATTTTTACAAATATTAAGGTGGGAAGTTTTAAAATGAACATCCTATATATAAAACAAATACATTCGCGTAAGAATATATGATAGGTATATAAATATGTATTTTTAAATGCACAAATGTAACCAAAGGACTTACATTCAGAAAGTAAACTCTACTTGCAAAGTAGTGTGTGCCTACCTTCATTGCCGATAAGAGACTGCTCTCCCGTATTCCTGACTGTATAGAAAGATTATTATTTAATGCAACTATCCTAATGTTTTTATGTAACTAAAGATATATTTAGATAAAAAGATAGTAGATTTTATACTAATATACACTCGCTAAAAATATTGTGCACCCAATAAATATATTTTCATAACCAAAGCATGTAAAAATCAAAACGTAAAAACAGCGTTTTTCTACGCACACAGACAAATATTACATTACAAATATTATTCTTTTATAGCATTTACCAGCTCCATTATCCTGAACCAAGACATTCTCGGACATTGTAATCTTGGATGATTTAGATGCTGTACGCAATGAACTGTAGAGAACGCAGCTGAACCAGATCACAAGACCAATAATGCTTTCCTTGTCAAATGCGACACGATTTTGCGTTTTGATATCATCACCAGCAAGAATACCTAAGAAGCCAGGATTACACTCGCGGTCTATAAATTAAAGTACAATAATGATGAAAAGTAAAAATTATGTTATGTTGCTGGCTTATACTATCCATGCTGAATCGACAATATCTACCTGGACTGTTTGATATGCCGCTCCATGTTAAATATACCACGTATAACGTTACTATAGAAGATTGAAGGAGACCAGATCGTGGCTGATGTTCTTGTACACTCGGTAAAATTGATATAATACTGGTAATAACGCATAAAATCAAGTTAAATGAAATGAAAAATTTATTGAGAGCACAAATGCTTTCCTGGAAATGCAAAACAAGTAAATGATTATGTTTTGTTTTAAGACAAATGTAAATTTGTTTTAATAATAATAGAGAAATGTGACTAATGAAATCTTACATGTGTGAAATACACATAAAGTAGCACTATCCCAGCAATAGAGACAGCATAATTGAAGAATGATGCACCTAACAAAGCAGCATACCTGAAAATATTTTTATAATATTATTTCTAACCTATGTATGTATATTAATATTATTATGAAGACAGTAATTCTCTTACCATCCTTTCGATTCAGTCTCTTCATAATTCCCTACCCATGCATCGGCCCAAGAATGAGCAAAGTCGACAATCAGAATCAACTGTATGATTATAAAGAGAAAACCTCCTATCATTCCAAAATACATCCAAGTAGCTCCAAAAGATCTTTCTGGGATGAAGAAGGCACCAATAATCCCTCCAATTATTAAGAAATATTTGATCGCCCAGAATCTAAAAATGGTATACAGATGTCACAAATTAAGTATTTAAGTAGCAAAGTTTTGTGACAAGTATCCACTCAATTTTACCCATTTTGTATAGCTGCTCGTGGGTCTTGTGAACTTTTCACTCTGATCATTATTATAGACATCAGGAAGAAATACAAGGAGAGAATGAAGCATATTCTGTAAACTGCCAAATAACCGACTGCAGAATCACAGTCGACAGATGGAATGATTTCCGGTGGAATATAACTGGAATTGTGTGATGTTGTTGCGCAGAATGGTACCTGTTAAAATATGATGATATTAATGTATCCTTTAATTGCCAATAATTAATCCTGACATTACCTTTTTAAGTGCACTTTGTAAACCAGGAGCAAGAGTAATACAGGCTGCAATAGTTCCCAGCATCAGGAGCAATGCATACATAATGCGAGTGCTCGTACTGTTCCTGCATGTTGGACATTGGGAACAACAGAAACTGCAAGCTGTGCTTCCACACAAGCATGCCAGCTATATAGTATAAAAGAGACAATATAATAATACATAATGATATAAAAAATACATAATAAATAGATTTATAAAAATATATAATGATATAATTATAACATAAATAATATTATATTATAGTTATAATTATGCAAGTTAGAATACAGATAAAGAAATAAAAGCCTACAATAATAGATATTTTGCAAAGGAGATATTGTTAAACTCAATTGTTTATATCGTTATATTGTGTCATATTTATTGTTATATTGGTATTTTAACAGTGTCATAGGAGCATTATTTCCAGCATGCTGAGGAAATCTTTAAAAATAGCGCTTACATACTATGTGTCTGTGGCATATATATTGTAATCAATATCTCTCGGACATGTGTATAACTAAACAATGTACATGACGCCATACTAGATATATGACGATTCATTCGTACTTTCGCAAAAGTTGCTACGACGCAAATCCATGGCGAAATGAAATTGAACTCAATTCAATCGTGTTTGAAAAAGAAAGCATTACGAATGAGATTTCTTTATCCACGGAGGACAGCGTAATAAAGCGATCATAATTAGTAGTTATTTGTCCAATAATAGGACACAATTAGGACTTAATCATATCACGAGATATACATGCGCTATAAATATAATATCTGTCACTATAAATATCGCAGTGAAAAAATCGTGAAAAAGTGCATATCTTTTTCAGTAATAAAGAGAAGGAAAAATTCCCGTGAGAGAGATGAGTCAGACAATGGTTATCTCTCCGAACGATAGTAGCTCACTTACCTGAGCCGTTGAGCATATGAGACCCATGACGAGATCCTCTCGCCGTTCGCGCTGGCCAAAGAACTACCGACGAAGGAAGACTCGAGAATTTGATCAACCAGCGGAATGGATTTCGACAATATTGCCCGAAATGAGAGTGGCGCGAGGAGAAAAGACTGCAGAGAAAGTCACCACGCAGTACAACAACAGCGCACTGACAGCTATCCGCGGGCAACTTCGCGCGATCAGCTGACCGTGACGTCAGCCGTTCGCGACACACTTCAGGCTGCTCCGGCGACTAGCGCGCAAATTGATTGGCCCGGACCAGATAGAAGCATGAGAGCGGCCACCAGCTTTATTTCAATAGTCAGAGCTAGGCGCTAGAGATCCTTTAATAAGAGTCTGGCCAACACAATACTGTCACAATACCTCGATTGAAACATTGTGATTGGTCCGCCATTTTTTTCTCTTAATGACGTAGTAATACTACGTGATAGCAGTGTAAGTCCATGGCGATGCATAATACAATAAAAAATATAACAAATAATAAAACTGTATTTATTTCATTTTCTCCTTTATCATCGAATGGTAAAATTGTCACTTCGCACTTCTTTTGCCTGCTCCTGGTTCGTACCCGTTGTAAGGTGATCAGATTTCCTAGCTCTGAATTCGGGACATTTTATAAATGTGTGAAGCGAGGGCAAGGGGATAAAGAGATCCAAAAATTATTTGATAATCATTGAAAATGATGATAAATCGGTGTCCCGAATAGCACTCGAAAAAATTCGGGACAAAGGATGAAAAATCGGGACGTCTGGTCACCTTAGCTGTATGTGTCGAGAAGGGAGGAGATTATTCCGTAATAATGTACTTACGATATGTCCTGATGATCGCAAGTCGTTGTTTTCGGCACTCTAATACTTATTTCCGGAGACTCACAGGACACAAGCGAAAGACATGGAATACGGAACGTCGTGTCCATAATTGCTCGGTATGAAAAGATTGCAGACGCGCGCGCTGTCAATCACGTACACCAAAAGTTTATTAGCGCGCCGAAAGTACCAAAAGTGCACTACGAGGTTGTCATCGTGGTTATTCAATTCAGACGTTGGTAATGAATCGCGCGAAATGCTCGATCTTTTCGCGCTAAGCAGCAACCATGGACACACATCGACCCACATCGCTTCGCGTTTCTCGCGTCTTTTATCCGTCGAAACGAGTCTCGTGCGTTAATAAGTCTCGGGAATGTGTCGAGAATAGCGATGTGCGATCTCCAGAACATATCGTGAAGACATTATTTGTAAGTAATCTTCTCGTTTTTCCTCATGATATATGCGGCCGGTGCTTGTCGCGCCGAGGTCCCTTACATTTGCTAATAACATCAACTCGCTCAAGTAATAGAATTGGGCGATCGTCGGAACGGGAATTAAAAATGCGATCAGAGAGAAAGAAAGAGAGATGCGGAATATTCGAGTGGTTACGTTAGCTTGTTAGGAAAAGAAATATGGGGAGAGAAGTATCTCATAGAACGTGTTCTTTTCGGTCGCGGTGCCATTCACATATTGGCGTATATTTTCAGCGCGATTCAACAATCGCGCGACCATCTTGATTCTCGGTCTTTCTGCAACGAGCAACCGCCGTGGACACATCGATCGACATCGCTCCGCATTTTACGCGTCTTTAACCCATCGAAAGTAAGTCTTGCGCGGAAATAAGTATCGGAGTGTTGAGAACAGCGATGTGCGATCGCCAGGGCGTATCATGAAGACGTCATTTGTAAGTAATTTTCTCGTTTCTCCTCGCGGATATGTAAAGTGATCAGATTTCCTAGCCCTAAATTCGGGATACTTCATAAATGTGTGAAGCGGGGAGAGGGGGGTAAAAGATCTGAAAATTATTTGACAATCATTGAAAATCGGTGTCCCGAACAGCACTCGAAAAAATTCGGGACAAAGGGTGAAAAATCGGGACTGTCCCGAAAAAATCTGGTCACCTTAGTTGAACTTCCGTACAATGATAGTAAGTTAAAAAAGGACAGACCTCCAATCGCTCTATTCTTGTCTCACCACTGATGAGCGGACCGCGCGACGTAGGCACGAAGCGAGCTAGCGGTGATATTATCGCAAATTTATATTAACGAACGTAGTAAAGGCGCACTTTGTTAGATGGCGTCTCGAAAATGCGTCTAGCTCTGGCCACTAAAATCAAGCTGGTGGCCGCTCTCAGACTTCTCTCTACCCGGACTGCCGCCACGGCGAACAGTGCGACGGGCGCAGGGCTCCGGTTGTGGTATGCGGTAGTTTGTGGTCGCGCGTCTCTCAACGTTGTCATCATCGCTAAAAAAAACGACAGCAGGAGGCGCATGCTGACGTACGCTCGATTCGTGAGTGTAAGTAACCGCCTGTGTCCTGTTGTGTCTTATTATGTCAATCACTGCAAACGTCGCACACTCGTCATCTCGTTGTCACTTGAGCCTGTTCGTGGGCCGGATTGAACTTTTTCATAACGAGGAGATTCCGTGGGACGAGCGCGTTAGAAATACGCTGGCCGTTGACACGCGCGCCTGACTTCACACGGCTCGTGTCTCACCGGACGACGGGGTGTTGGCTTACTGCACCTACACCTGCGACACGTTTAATCCTAGCCGCAACCTATACGATCCGACGCGTAATAATATAGCTTCGTGTTATGGAAAAATGATGAAACTGTACATACATGTACGCAACAATAACCGCTTTGATTCCGTCTGCTTTCGGCCGATTTCAACGCGGTTGTAACGTTTTACGTTGCGACTCGCGTCGAGTTGTATTTTTGGTATTTTCGGAATATCGCTTTATTTCTGGCAATGAGTGCGGATCAGAAACGCACACAAATTCATTACGCAATATATGTAGGTCGATCTTACCTAAAAAAGGCAAACTTACGTTGATCGATTATAATAGAACTAATGACTTCGTTGAATTATCGAGAATTATCGAAAATGATTGTTTTTCTCTGATAATTTTGATCTCCTCTAGCGGAAATTTCTCTTGCAATCATCTTTTTACATTTAGCAATATCTTTATAAGGTTGGATAATCTTTGCGAGATTAATTGCGAGTAGCAGGATTAATCTTGGATTTTTATCGCGTTGCTTCGTTTGCGAGTCGTTCTGAACTCCTACATGCACACAATAATATAGTTCAGGATTTGCAATCTCCCGCTGCGTTATCGAGCTATGTTTAGATTTCGGCTAAATGCCTGCCTTCGCGAGATGGAAAGAACGTTCGCTGCGGCTACTTTGCAGCAGTTTTAAGCTTCCTCGAGTTTGAGCAATCGATTCTCGCGTTCGTCACAACTTTCCGTCGCTCATTAGATCTCGCGCCACTGCAAATGTCGTAAACGTTATCTCGACGTTATGAATCATTCTGCGCACTTTTCTGCAATGCGAAACACAAAAGAACTCGACCAGCGCGCTAACCGAGACGCTAAAAGAGAATTCACTTGTCACGTTGACCGGCTTTAATTGAGTTTGATGCATGACTTTTATGTACGCGTGTCATAACACGGCGATTACGTTTGTCGCGTTCTAAAGACGAACGCTGACGAATTTGTTATTCTACGCGACGTTATATTACGCGCAGGACGTCGCGATTCTATTTTCGACGAGCGCATTTTTAATTACTTGTAATAATTTATCGCCCACTGTATCTTTGATTATTGCTCAAGGTTGGCATGTTGGGCCAGCCTTCGCGAAATTTTACACCTCCTCTTTGATCCAGAAGGTCACCAAACGAATTACGTTTGATAGGATCTAATGCGACGCCAACGGAGATATGCCTGTAACTATAGATTGGAGTAATTTCAAAGTAAAATCTATTTCAGCTCGACACCGGCGATATCTTGGTAGCGCGTGGTTATGTTAATGAATGTTAATTAGTATAAACGGATGCGCACATGCGGGATGCGGTCGAGCGTACATATCTAACATGTTGTTGATTCCGTCAATGATAAATTATAACACTTGCATTTGTATATCACTTGCTACGATTATTTAAACTGGGTAAGCTCGGTAAAATTTGTTTCAAACACGATTCACCTCTCCCTTATAGTGTCTTGCTTGTGTGTAAAATCGATTTAATTTTATTAAAAAAGAAAAACCATACACACACTATACTGAATATACTGAGGGAAAAATATGGTTACTTTCGCCCTCAACAAAACTGTTTTGTAATTTTAACCACAAAAATAGTTAGAATAACCATTGTTTTAGTAAGTGTTATTAGAAAAATGATTATTCTAACTATTTTTGTGGTTAAAAATACAAAACAATTTTGTTGGGGGCGAAAGTAACCATATTTTTCTCTCGGTGTAGCAAAGATATTTCCCGGTAAAAAAAATATTTGTCATTTACAGGAGGCCTAAGTTATAGTGAATATCACTTGGTTCAATTCAGTATATAATATAATAATTAAAAACGATGGAAGATAAATCGGAAAACTACAAGGTCTCTCAACCGAGCACTTGGCCGTACATGAACGTTAGTTCGCTAACCATGTCGTTTGTCACTAAATTGATGGCAGCCGGTATTATCTGGGGATGGGGTTACTTCAACTTCAGCATAGCTTGGTTGATCGCGCCGATTGCATTTTCCGTATGGAAAGCTGAACGGAAAAGGGACAATGAGTTAAGAACGATCACAGCGCAAGCGAGCGTGTTGGCTAAAGAAAAGCAGTTAATCGTCAGTCGAATAGACGAACTACCTTCGTGGGTGTATTTTCCCGATTTTGATAGAGCCGAATGGCTGAACAGAGTACGTTAAAATTTTTTCATGTTACACGCTATAAATCATACAAGATATCATCTCATGCGTGAGAAATTAATATTAGATAGCATCACAATTTATTTTCTATATTATCAGATCTTGTATAAAGTGTGGCCGAGTATGAACGAATACGTTCGCCAGCTGTGCAAACAAAATATAGAACCATCAATTGTTCAGACAATCAAAGGTTTTCAGTTTGATCGCCTAGTCCTGGGTCGCATTGTGAGTTCCTTCTAATTCTATATTTTTATATAAGCAACTCGTTTATATTTACACATGTTTTATGTGTGATTTTTACATTTTTTTTTAATCTACAAAAAGCTTATTTCTTGCAGCCACCACGGATTTACGGAATCAAAGTGTACGATAAGAATACATCAAGAAACGAGATCATTTTAGATGCTGACATCATGTATGTACCCTACTTTTCTCTCTCTGCATATATTAAAATTTAAAATTATAATTTATCTTTGTCATAATATTGTATATCTATAGATACGCCGGTGATTGCCGGTGACTTAAAATTATAATTTATCTTTGTCATAATATTATATATCTATAGATATGCCGGTGACTGTGATATTACCTTTTTCGTTGGCAACATCAAAGGTGGTATTAAAGATTTTCAAGTAAGCATACTGGAATCTAGCTGGATTGTATATTTATTGCAATTTTCAATATAAATTAATAAATTTCAGATGCGCGGCTTGGTGCGCGTTATCATGAAACCTATGCTGTCTGTAATGCCATTAGTTGGAGGTATACAAATATTCTACTTGAATAATCCCACTATTAACTTCAACTTGGTAGGAGTGGCCGATGTATTGGATTTGCCTGGATTCAAGTGAGTTTTTTCTTTTTTCATTTGACATCATTTATTTCAAGCACGGACATGTGGTAATCAATTATGACATTACTTGTTAGTCAAACAGAGGAACTTACTTAAAACACAATGTTTTTTTCAGTGAAATTTTAAGACGAACTATTATTGAACAGATAGCAGCCATTGCTGTGTTACCAAACAAAATAGTTATACCATTAAGCGAAGAAATACCGATGGAATCTTTGAAAACACCCGAACCTGAAGTAAGTTTCTTATGAGAAAATCTTTCATATCACGAATGTGTGTGTTACGTGTATGTATGTATGAACGCATTGTAAAATATGAAATTACCTTCTTATTAAATGCATTCACATATTTCTTTGTAAATTAGGGCGTTCTGAGGATTCATGTTGTGGAAGCAAAGCATCTTATGAAAAAGGATATCGGAATGTTAGGAAAGGGCAAGTCGGACCCGTACGCCATCATAAATGTCGGTGCCGAGGAATTTAGAACCAAAACAATTGACAATACTGTTAATCCAAAGTGGGATTTCTGGTGTGAGGTACGTAAGCATTTTTTGCTAATTAGTTGCGCTCAAACATTAACAACGTTTAATGCATGTGTGCTTTGTCGCAATTTCTCTCGATATATATCTTTCAAAAAATACTACACAAGGTCTTCTCTATATGTGGTAAGAGAAAAATATTTTATGAATTTACAAATTTATACAATTACAAAATGAATTTTCTTCTGCGAGAATATTCTACATACATTTTATTGAATCATTGAATTATAGTGTTATAAATAGGATATATCATTCTGCATTCTCATTTAACTTTTTTATAATTTAACAAACATATTTTAATATATCAAATATTCTCGCTCAAAATGTTGCCGATTTAACATTCCAGACAGCCAATGTTCTGCTTATATCCCACACATGCGTATAGTTTCCAATTAGCACCGATATTTCATTTTAAATCATTCATTTTTGCGATATCTCGTTCCTTACATCGTGTTACTCTTAGTGGTTCGTGTTACCTCTCTCTTTCTCTCGGACTGCACATAGGATACACACTTTAGTCTATGTTAATATGATTTAATTTCATAAGTTTGGTATGTATGTGTGTATGTGATGTGCAACATATTGTGTGGGACTAGTGTGACGTGACCTCAGCCATCGCACAACAACTGACCATAATGCTGTGGGACTATGATGACACAAAAGGCGATGAAAGTCTTGGAAGGTATAGTTACATATAACATTGCATATTTTTTTCATTTTTTCCATTGTCCATTTTGGAGACGTTCTAAATTGAATTTTTTATTTAATTTATCTAAATGGAACACGTTTTATCTAAATAGAATACGTTTTTATCTAAATACAACACGTTTCATTTTATTTTCGTTATCAAATGATAAGAGTAATTTGTACAAAATATTGTAAAACTATTTAGTCGATGAAAATTGTTATACAATGTATATATAATCCATTTGGAATCATTTACTAAATTCATTCGACTTATTCTCTCTTCATCACTGTATTAAGAAGCTTCTATCGCATGTTATCATTTTGCTGATGTGTAAAAGTGTCTACATTGTTGGTCTGATTGTGTATATCGTTTAGGTGGTATCTGGACGCATGTTGATCTCACTTTATTTTATTAATTTTTTAACATTTTGTGTACTAAACACACGAGATTTCGTCATGTTACGAGACAAATAACGTGTCATTTACTCATTTAGCAGCATATTGCAGTCATTTTCTTCAGATAAAATTCTATATGTATTACGTAAATTAAACCATACGTTATAGTCATTTTCGATTACATTCTCACTCTGTAGTATGTACATTTAGCAAACATTTATATCGCACTGCGATGTAAGTAGACAATAATATAAATTCAACAGAACATTTATATTATATAGACGGCTGTCGCCGCAAAGACCTATATCTTGTTATACATCTGTTATACATCATAATATTGACACACAGGCTATGATCACTTCATGTAATATGCAAGAAGCTGTGGTATCTCTTTGGGATTGGGATCCCAATATCCCAGGGGTACAATATGATGATTCCCTTGGCAGGTAGTAATATTATAATTTGCGAGTGAAACGATATTTGCACATGTACGAAAATGCACGAATTAAATCATGATATTGTTTCGTTTGAGCATGATACGTATATAATACATATTTCTACCGTATAATTTGTGTGTGTGTGTGTGTGTGTGTATTTGTGTGTGTATTATTTTTGTAAATAATAATGAATATCAATATTTATATATATTTATAGTTATCTCAAATGAGTTTTATTTTACTAATGCTGCAGATATAATAGCTTGTTAAAATGCTGCACGAGCATATTTTTTATTTACTTTTATTTTCTTTAAGATAACACGTATATTGTGATTTTTAAGAGTTTTACTACTTTTTACCTATTTTTGATACGTCTGATTGTTCCAGCGATTTTTCAGTATTTCTGTTAATAATCTGTGTAATGTTGATTAATCTGTTGTTGAGTAATCATGATTAACTTATCATGCTCCGCGATATTTTCTTCTTTTTCTTGTAGCGAGAAAAAAACATTCTGCGTTTAATAGTTTCGTCGTTTTCATTAATTATTTGATCGGAGTAATTAGGTGACTTTGTTTTATGGAAAAAGCAACTAAAATAGACTATGTGGTGGCAGTTTATAGTGGAAGAGGGCTTGGGAGCCTACAACACCATGGTTGCCCAGCTCTTTGACAAAGACAACACTGGTCAAGATGATCCACTTGGCAGGTATTGCTGAACGTGTAGTACACAATCTCAGACCAGATTAATAGTGCATTTTACGAGACTTTTATAGAACATGAATTAGTACGCGGAATACTCCTTGCCGTTGACAATGTTACGCTTAAAAGGCTGCGTTTTCTTTTTCATTACGCGAATTACCTGCAAAATACCGCGGCGTATTTGAGGTGTTTCAAACATAAGCATCGATCACACGTATTTATGATGCATGTCGTTTAATTGCAACTTGTTTATCATACACAGAGAATACGATATGTTGAAAACATTACAGGATCCAATATACCAGTTGCGTTGAAAATGACGATTCTAAGCTCATGTCACCACATTATTCTCACAATACACAGAGTGAACATAAGGAGATCTATTTTGTTTTTCTTTAAGTAACAAAGCAATGCTATGGTGTGTGGTGGTGTTGCATGTTTTATTTTACTGTACATAGTACGCAATAACGTTTTTATATCATCATTTGGAGTTAGAACTATGAAAATACATCGGAATTAATGAGACCGCATTACGGTTGCATGAACGCCTCATAAACGCAGGAATGGTATCACGAATATTGCATTTTATATATAAATTACCATATCGCTATCATCATCATTGCTAAGATTGAACATTCGAAATTGCTGAGAGCCAATTTTACTTAAATTTTTATTCTTAAATTTTTAACGAGAACTTGTCTCGAGAGTAATTCGAGTAATTCTTAAAAATCTGTTTTCGTATTTCAAATCATGACACAGAGCCACCATCGAAGTCATCCGCGTGAAGAAGAAGGGCATGATCGATACAGTGAGTGATACGAAATTCTTCTGAAAGCGATCGATTTTGTTGCTAACGGATTTTATTTTATAGTGGATTTCTTTGGAGCAAGCGAAGCACGGTATGGTCCATTTGCGATTAACGTGGCTGCAACTTTCGAAGGATCCCGCTGATCTAAAAGCCGTAAGTAAGACAAGATACGATTCTGTTAGTGTAAAATGTACGTAAAAATTAACTTTTAATTAATAATTCTCACGCAGGCTTTAATAGAAACTCAGGAGCTTCGAGTTACGTCAATGAGTACTGCCCTTCTCACTCTCTATATTGATTCTGCTAAGAATTTGCCGGTACGTAAGTTCATATAAATAATACATAAATAAGGAAAAGTGTTTTAATAGAATAACCGATATCATCATACACGCGCAGTGCATACGGGGAAATAAGCAACCCGACGTTTACTTAGTAGCGAGTGTCGGTGGAAAAACGAAAAAGACAGCTACCATGCCACATTCTTGCGACCCGATATGGGAACGAGGATTCACTTTCTTGATTAGTAATCCCGAAACTGGCATTTTAAATCTAAAGGTTTCCTATATATTTTTTTAAATTAACATTACCACTTTTCGTTACTTGATAATGATCAATAATGGCCGCTTATACTTCAGCTTACGGATGAGAAAACTGGCATGTCAGTTGGGGAAATGAATTATAATCTTTTCTTGCTTTTGGAAAAGAATAATCTTCAAGTGGATCAACAGCCGTATGATTTACAAATGGCTGCGGCAGACAGCAAGCTCGTAATGTCGATGTCACTGAATGTAAGTACGCATACATTTGATTTATGTATGACTTAACGATGTAATCAGACACGCAAGTCGTATCGATCGAACGAGGCAACCTTGCTTCTACAGATTCTGAAATACGAGCAGCCTGAACCTACTTCCGAGGAAGATGAAGACGATCATGACATCAATCAATTAAATAAACGTATCGAACGTCAGGAGTCTAATATCAGCAACATTCTGCTTTCTAGTGGTGAGTAAAGCAGCGTCACGTCGCTTAAAACTCTTTTACACTTTGAAGTTCAACAAAACGTTTTACTCATTGATCAATCAACAGACTCGAAACTTATTATGTCGAATATTGTACGTTTCCTTGCAGCACCTTCTAGTCCTCTTAGGAAGCAGCCTTCAAAGGAATCAATCAACAGCCAACCACGTAGTACTGGATCCGGCGCAGCAGCTTTGCCCGAGGAGGCAGCAGCAGTAGAAGAAGAATTGATAATTAACACCAGCGCTCCGTCTTCGCTAACCGGAAGCCCTCACCTTATTCATCGGAATGTTAGCGTGACTTCTTCTTTGGGTGAAGCGAAATTGGGGAGAATACAATTGACCTTACGTTACAGCGTGCAGAGGCAAAAATTTGTCGTTGTCGTGCACAAAATTGCGTAAGTATAACCTCCATATCTCGTATTCGTCATGAGATCAATTTGCTCGACAGCATTTTATTTTACATTGACGTACTTTATATCGCAGCAATCTGCCGCTGCCGCCGAACGATCCTCACAACATACCGGATCCGTACGTGAAGCTCTACTTGCTACCAGATCGGCATAAGGAAACAAAGCGCAAGACTGCCGTAATGAAGGACAATTGTAATCCAACGTTCGACGAACAATTCGAATTCGTTGTCTCGCAGGGAGACTTGGGTACGCGTACACTAGAGGTGTTGGTGTGCACCCAAAAGGGTTGGTTGTCGGCCGGGAGCAAGGTGATGGGTCAGGTTCTTTTGAAGCTGAGCGAGGTCGACATTTCGAAGGCGATCACCAGTTGGTACGATTTACAACCGGAAGTCAAAGACTAGAAAAAAAGGAAAAGTAAGTGGGGATTCGAGCGTCTGTGCGTCTGCCTGTCGAAACAGCCGCTCAAGTTCCCACTTGATAACTTTTACAAACGATGAAAGTCCCAAGAGCTGTACAAGTATTCTCGTTAATCGTTAATCTCTCGCGGTTGACGATTTATATGACGAGTTATGGTGCTATACGAGACGCGAGTCGTCTCCGCAAAATGATCTTATCTATCGAAATGTTCGTACTTATGCCGTCCAATGGCACGAAATGATCTGACATGTATTATTGCTGCAATTGCCGCACAGGAACGGATCGGCTTAGCGAAAGTAAGTTTCAAGTAAGTTCCCATTGGTGTATCGAATGTTTTGGAATGCGGAAAAATGGATTTCAACGTGAAGTTTTTCATGTGTATTCAAGTTCTTCTTCCTGACAATGTGCCTAAAGTGAAGAAAAAACGCTGGGCGTTTATTTGAATAACCAATATGATAAACGATAAATAAGTTATACTTGTGAGGATGTTCTGTAAAAATTTGTACAATTACGATCGATACACAAGCAACATTAAATTTTGCTAGATTCTATGCCAATCCGCGCCTGACATTGATCTTATTTTATATTTTTTCTCAATTACATTTAAATTTACAATCATGTTGCAGTATAAGATACACTTGTTTGCACAATGATTTGCGCACATTTTTCCAATTAAGTTAGAAGTGCATCAAATGCGAGCCACTGCTCCCGTAGCGATCACGTGGTCTGCTTGCGTGGTAAAATAAAAGTATCAATGCCCGGATATGTATCTAATCCTAGACAGTCTTATTGTTTTAATTTTTAAATATAAATATTTAAACTTTTAACATAAAATATATAGACAGGTATTAAATATATTCTGTGATGAAAATTTAAATATTCGTATTTAAAGACTAAAACAATAAGAATGTTCAGGATTAAGTGTATGTCCGGAAATTGGTACTTTTATCTTAAACGGTTAAGACAGAGAGAAGTTGAATGACAGAGAGAATACGCGTTATTAAGGGGATGCTGAAGTCGATGACGAACTCGAACAGTGTCGATAACGCAGGGACGATTACTAACACAACTACGTTATCTTTTTCATATTTCTTGTGCATATTTATATAAATATATTATATAAATGTATAAAATTTACATGTTGCTTTGTTTTACCATATTCAACGGAAAACTTAACCACGCATGTATAGAAATTTTTCTGCAAACTTTTCGGATATTTTTAAACTTTTGAATTCAAATGCAAAGATACGATAATGTTATTTATTTTTTTTTTTTTTATTGTAGTAGTGACAATCGTCTCTGCATTATAGTTCATCGACTTCAGCATCCCTTTAATAGATTGGTATTCATAGTCGAGACTTATATTTAAGACTCTTAAAACTCTTCAGATACTTCGTAACCAATAAAATGATCTTATCTAAACGTACCTTATCTGAAGATAAACTTGAGACGGTTTTAAATATAATATCTGGCTATGAATACCAGCCTTAGACTTCAACTTCTATCATACCGACACGAGTGTAAGTTCGTGAATAGCAACTCGCAATTGTGACCATTTGATGCACTTCTGACTTTATCGCAAAAAGGGCGTATGCAAATCATTGTGTAAATGTTATTTATATGATTTAAAAAATGAAGTATTTTTATATTACAACTGTGTGATTTTATTATTCATAATCGACACCAAAATAATTTTTTTTTCCACAAGTTCCTTGTTGTGTTTCATATATCTTTTTTTTTTGTTTTTCTTATGTTTTAACATTGCTTTGTTACTAACGAAGTCGGATAATGCATTTATGAGTTGCATAAGCGATTAAATAGGTGATTATCACTCTCTATGTATACATGTTTTATATTTTATAAGATATATCTTTCTTCGAAAATGCAACTCGCGGCATACGTTTATATAGTTTTAATACAGCATAATTCGTGAAATCAAATTAGTATATACATGCGTTATATTTATATCGAAGTTTTTGCTATATTACACATATACACGTATAAACATACACCTATGTACATCTATATTCTGTGACGCACGACACCGTCAATAATGTCACGAACTGTTGAGAACAATAAATATTATATGCATTGTCTTTGCTAACCGAGTAATTAAATCCCGGTTATTATGATATAGATAATTTAAAAAAATATATATATATGCACATATGTCTGTCACGTATCATACGTACACATCGCAAAGATCTGTTCAACACAACCGTTACTTTGCGATTCATATAAAATACATTTCACTCAATTGAAACTACTTCAATAATTAGATCATAAGCCATGTCCACATTTCATTCTCCATGATAAATCGTCGCTCGCTGTTTCTGCACCCTTCACCATTATATAGATCCAACGATCACCAAGGAAACTGAATGATAGTTAAATATGGTACTGCTTATCGTTGACGCTCTCTCGTCGTACGGAGAAGCTTTTATATAAATCTTACGTCCTTATTGTCGTTTCTAATGATAATTTAATGCGATAATTTAACCGCATATTGATAGAATTTTTATTCGGTATGCAGCGAACGTCGATGTTACCTTGTCTTCCAGGTTTTAGCTTTGACAAGAACGTGAGTACTTTTACGAGACATGTATCAAGCACATAATCACCGAGACGTCACTGATATTATCACTGGCGAAGCAAGGAGTGTCGCGAAGTATAGTCGGTGTATAGTCTGTCTGTGTAGAATATAGTCGCGGTGTAACGTGTAAAAACTCACGATGGGGAAAGATCCATATCACAGGTATGCGTGTGTGCCTTGCAGCTCGGTAGAACCAAATTTCACAGAAGCCATCACTTCACCAAGATACACGATGGTGTTTATTACTTATCCGAGAAGGCGGACACGATCGCTCGCAGCCGTTATCCGTCCATGTGTCCCCCGGGGGAGGTGCAGGAAATTCCTTCGTGGCTCGCGTATGACGGCCAAGTATGATAGACAGTAAATATGGGTTTCGTTAAAGTAAGATTTTAAATCGTTCATAAGCAGCACACAATTTCTTGTAAAACATATAATGTATCATAAATATAATTACATATCCGATTAATTAATTGTATATGTGTGTGTAAACATGATAATATTAACATATCCAATTATACTTCAGGAAAATAGAAAGAAAAATATGCGTGGGAACACTACACTGTAAAAATTGATGTGTTAAATTTAACATTTCATGTGTCCCAAATCATCCACTCTCATTTATGTGTAAATTTAACACAAAATAAATGTATTAAAAAGTAACATGCATAATATATAAAAAATTAATATAAGAATTTAACACTTGAATATCGTCACAGGAATCATAGGTTGTGTTAAATTGGTATACGTATAATGTTAAATTAACTAAAAAATTAACTAAAACGTTACTTTAACATTTGAGAGAAGTATTAATCTATGGTTTTGATAAAATGAAAATGTTAAATTGACATAATCTATGTGTGACATATTAAATATATCAGTTTAACACAACCTGTGATTCCTGGTGGTATTCAAGTGTTAAATTCTTGTGTTAATTTTCTACATATTATGCGTGTTACTTTTTAACACATTTGTGTTAAGTTTACACATAAATGAGAGTGGATGATTTGGGACACATGAAATGTGTTAAATTTAACACATCAGTTTTTACAGTGTATGTATTGATTTTAATTCGTTATAATTCTTTCATTTGTTCATAATTCTAGAGACTCATGTTCAAAGCGTTTTTCCAAGAGACCGTGAAGGAAAAATGGAAAACGACTTATCAAATCCGCTTGGTAAAGATCAGTTTCTTCCTGGAGGACGGAACAATAAAAATCGTGGAACCAGCAGTGGACAATAGTGGACTTGAGCAAGGTTCAAGGGTGCATCTCCTTGTTGTAATTTTTTTGTGACTCTTCTGTTCTGCTTAACAAATAAAACGTTTTTTCTTGTGGACATTCTATCGCGCGATTTAATGTTTATACTTGTATACTCTTCGCATCTGTCATCGCGCGCTTAAATTAATGTGTAACGTAAACGGAAAGAGATGAATGTTTATAATCTTTTCTATAATGTAACGTATATAATGGTTGTAAATAATGTTATTTTATTGAATTTTACGCGAAGGAATCTTGGTCAGACGTCAAAGAATACCGATGCCCGATTCAGTGAAATACAGATACTACGACATACTTGACTTAAATATTGGCAAAGAACCCGAGATCTACGGGCGCGTGTACAAAATCATAGACTGCGATAAATTTACGAGGCAATTTCTTAATCGCATGGGAATCCCTGTACCCGACCCCATCGATCCACCGAAGGATCCGAATTACGAAAGTCAGAAAGTCGTAAGTGGCATATTTACAACGCTCTGATACTGTTAACAAGTTTGTTCATTGTATCATCGATACTTAAGGACAAAATTTCTGTCAAATTTACATTTTTACACCGCTTGTTCACCACGTTTGCGTAGGAGGTTTTTCCGAAGAAACCCAGTCGCACGACAGACACCCTCGGCAGCTTTTTAAAGTACGACAGGCAGGTGCTGCGATTTTACGGCTACTGGGACGACACAGAGAACCTGCACGGGATCGTACACGATCTCGAGCTACATTATTATCTTGCCGATAATACGATGGACATCAAGGAGAACGTGATGCAGAACGTGGGTCGTGACTCGGGACTTATGTTCGTTAAGAGAATGAAAATACCCAAAGTAAGATGTATCGCCTCTATTCATACAATACCATCACAAATTTAGATGCAGTAGCATCAAATATTCAATGTTAAAATATATATGTATCTTCTTCGATATGTTACATCTTTTCGATTTGTCAATTTAGTTTTTCACTGAGTTGCAACCGATCGGCGCGGAGGATCCTTTCACGGTTCTGAACGTCTTGGGCGAAAACAGATTGCGAAGCTATTACATAACGGATCCTTTGGAAACCGGCAAGGTGTCCGTCGATTATTACAAGGACAACGAATTATGTATCGGTGCGGAGATCGACGTTTTCGGCAGAAGAGTCGTCATCACCGACATGGACACCTTCACCAAGGAGTATTACCGGTGGGTTTACCGAAATCTCGTGTTCTTACGAGTCCTGTTGAAACGTATTTTGGCTCTTTATCTTGTCCTCGCATAGGATGAAGTACGGTTTGAAAGATTTTACGCCTCTACCGCGACTTGGAAGAGACGAACTAGGTCAGAAGGTGGAGAGATACATACCACCGTACAACGGCTTCGGATCCTACGAGGACTCTCTCGGGAATTGCTTAATGATGATACCGAAAGCACCTAAGCCAGATTTCATCAAGTTTATGCGTCATGACAAGTAAGTCGCGGCGGACAACGCGCATGAAAATTAATTACCCTCCCGGCTGACTCCATTTTCTCTTCTGTTACTTTAGACAAGGGTTTGACAGCCACGTTTTGAGATTCCGGGCGAGAATGGTATCGAAAATCCCTGCTAACGAAAACAGACAATTCATCATAAGAGTGTTCCTCATGGATGATACGATATCCATTTTCGAATTGGCCAAACGAAACTCAGGTATCAATGAAACTTTTCAAGTTAGAAAATCTATTGCGCATAAAAGATTCGTCTCAAATTTGAAGGCAACATTAGAAAATGAGAAAATAAACACTAATTTTCCATCTTTATGATCAAACAGAATATTAGTAAAAAGATGTAATAATGAAATGTATAATAATGAAGAAAAGGATTGGAATAATATCAGTAATAATATCAGGAATAATAATATAGTACTTAGTAAAATGAAGTTATTTCATTCATAGGTTTTCTGAGGTCCCTATTTCAAAAGCGAATGCCAATAATCCTGCCGGGACAAGATATCTTTACGAGCAAGAAACCGGAGTATTACAAGCCACAAGATTTTTACGTAGGCGCGTGTGTCAACTTGTCTGACTTTCATTTCAAAATTACGTCCGCGGATACTTACGCCCTCCGTTACATGGAGTTACACTGCGATAAAGTACGTTACAATGCATATTCATGTTTCACTTCTACGCATTGATCAATTAAAATATCAATCTAAATAGTATAAAAATTTTCTACTTAACCATTCACAACGAGCTTATTTTCTCGAAGTTTGCTCAAAGTTTATCTTATACACGACACGTTACTCTAAAGAAGAAATAATTTTCTTTTTGTGGCAGTTTCCCAAAGCAAACAGGAAATTGATAATGGAGAAGCTCAAAGAGAATTTACAGCCGGTTTATGATGAATTCGTTCAAACGTATGCTCCGCCTAAAGATACGAAAGATAATATTCGAGTGTTGGAATACGACATGTTCAAGTATGTATATATTGAGGAAAAACACTTGAGAATTTATTTGTAATATATATAAATTTGTTATTTCCTGAGAAATAAAATTTATTTCTGTGAATCAAAGTTTGTTTCTGTGAATAAACTTTATCTCACCAATGAATTTTTAAATGTTTTTTCTCAGTGTATAAAGTATTTTATACAGGACGCTTCACTCGTCGTTTATTTCTCACGATATATTTGCACTTCTAGGGAAGCGATGAGCCGATTTATGGGTGAGAAGATAACAGAACACGAAATGATCACGATTGCACGGCACTATTCGTCCCGCGAGAAGATAGAACTCCGAATGAGAGAATACGTGAGGTGAGAGAATTTTCTTTTTTTGCTGAAATAAATTAAAAAAAATCTCATGCAAATGTCGAACCCTCTCATAAATATAAACAAAGTTTATCGGCGAGTTAAGATAAAAGAAAGTATGTACGTATGTCGGTTATGTTTTTATAGAAATCTGCTGCATACGGAACTAGGACGATTTCTGTGGAACGATCTCGATCGCCTACGAGAGAATTTACAGCATTGGGACAGGGATAAAACGGGATACTTGCCGCGTGAATCCTTGTACACGATCCTGCGCGGTTGCAGGGTTCCCGTTGACGTGGAGTTATTGAATTCGATGTTAGACCAGTAAGTTTATACGAGTTCGTAGCTGAAGACCGATTGAATTTATTTTGCGTAGATGTACTTGGCGATTGTAACGTAACATCGCACATTTTCATCAGTTTGCGCAAATCTGAAGATGGCAAGCTGGATTACAACGACCTGCTGCAATTCATGAACGTTAAGATCGACCCTCTACCACCAATCACGCCCGTAAATATAAAGGTATATCGATTCATCTAATTCGTTATTATTTGCTATTGCAAATCGGAATCTCATACGTTTGTATGAATATTGCCAAAAATTACAAATTTATAATTTTAATTAAGAAGAAAGGTAGATTTGATATTCGGGACCTTTACGGTGTCCATGATTCTTATGACATCTACTAATTTTTTCGTGATTATAAACGTCTCTGTTAATTATCTTGTATATCCGGATTCTCCGCGGGATGTTTTGTACACGAACAATGCGATAGCTTATCGTTATCGCCTTGGACTTACGAGCACGGCCCTCGGAAACGAAGCGATACTTACCGAGCAGCTGCCGTTAAAAACCAAGTGATATTAGATTTGGTTTCTGGGCTTGAGCCGCGTAAATTCTTCTTTGTCTGATTCCGACATTTCGCAAACATTTCAGTTCACTTCACCAGTAAGGAACGATCTGATGCCGGGAAGAAAGATAGAATACAAAAATCCTCAAACTAATTCTAAAATGAAGAATTGTACGTCAGTTTTTAGAAATACTCCTTTCGGTTTTTGCTTTCATCTAACCGCCCGATTGTTTACGGCAACCTTACTCGTACTGATAGATGATTGATGTTTCGCAGACGGCGCTCTGGTGGGCATCCGAGGAAGAGCCGGATTGCGGAGCCGGAATAAACTGGTGCGAGTTCGTGAAGGACCTGGACATAGGAGCGGAAGATAGCACGGTGGAGCGGGGCGAAAACGTGGAAGTGCAACTCGCGCTGAGGGAGAACTGAACGTGTCAGGGCAGCGGAGCACGAGTATATTTCGCGATTCTTATAACACCTAATAATTTTCTCGTGGTAATTATGAACGTCTCTGTTAATTATCTCGTGTATCCGGATTCTCCGCGGGATACTTTGTACGCGAGCAATGTGATAGCTTATCGTTATCGCCTTGGATTTACGAGCGTGGTCCTCGGAAACGAAGCGATACTTACCAGCACCGAGCAACTACCGTTAAAAACCAAGTTTCGAGAGCCGGCTTCCGAGGCGCGTGTAAATCTCTTGCCTTTGGTAGATAGGTGGGTGATAAATTTTCCGAATCGTGTCTATAAGATTATTTACGACGATGAATTCACGACAATCTATTCGCGTCGCATGGCGCGCTGAATTATTCATACGCGCGCAAGATTTCACTTTTGAAATTAAGCCTGGCCGCGCGCGAATAAACAGCATTAAATGCGATCGTGTGCGAGTTGTGATTTTCACTCGGCGGGATCGGGGAAACGGTCGAACGAGGGTTGCCATTTCCAAGCCGATGTGTATTTGTAGAATGTAATGTTACATCTCCCTTTTTCTCGCACACACACACATACACGCATACACACGCATGCACATACATTCTCTCTGGAAGTCGAGCATTCTATGTACATCGCTCTGATCTACACTTAGAGTAGCGAAGCGTCGGAGAAGGGCAGTCCCTTCACGACGCAATTTACATTAATTCCGCGATTATCGAGTGGCGAAACGTATGACCGTTGTCCGCGAACGACAAACAATTTCGCCACGACACACACGTTGAATAAATAGCAAGTAGCACGATATAAATAACTTCTCTATTACGTACTGCCACGAGTTATATCTCCTCATACTCGACACATTCACGGTAAATAATTTATGTCGTCTAAATAATTAGCCTCGCGCCTCCGCGCGCAAAGTCAGATTTCTGCCGGAAATTACCGTCGCGGAGATGCGCGATTCTCACTCGAGATGGACGCGCGAACTGCAGTCTCCGCAGAGAGTTCAGTTCTCTCTCGAGGTCGCGATTCTTAGATCAGTTTCGACCGTTCGGCGGACTCGATTCCGCGCGTGGACTCTCTTTCTCTCTGCCTTGCTCTCTCGAGCGAATTGAGATCGCTCCAGCTCTCCGTCGCTCGCATATCAATCGACCTGGATCCCGCGTCGTCCGCGTGCTGACCACGTCGCATCCTCAGTTGCACTCGTACGTCTTCACGATCCTCCGGCAGGTCTTGCACTTCACGTAGCAGCAACTGAAATATTTGCAGTCGCATCGCTCCAGGATCTCCTCGGTCCTGGTGACGTGTCCTCGGCCGCAGCAGAGGTACTCGCAGCCCTCGTAACCGGAACTGCTGCCGTTGCATTGCCTGCGAAATTGTTTTTTTTTTTTTTTTGCATTTGTAGAGTTACCACGAAATTTGTAAACATAATTAACGAACTTAAACGTTAACAACGTGCAACGCGATGCGGGAAAAAAATACCGAGCAGAAATAGAGTTGAGAGAAATAGTATTACGCACCGTTTGCGCTGCCGGTATTTTCTACTTTGAATGCTTCTAATATACAATTTATTTTATGATGATATAAAATAGCCTGAAAAGATCTAATTTATCTAGGCATTGTGTCGTTAATTGGCAGTAAAATAGAGAGGGAAGTCCGCGTGTATAAAAATCAGATCCCGCTCGAAGTATGATATACAGTCGAGTGAAACTTCTTTTCTACCGGTACCCTCGTTTCCAGCGTTAATTGACTAACTTGTTTATCACTTACACGATCGTTCCGATTAGGTAATCGAAACTACTAGATATTACGGACACGTTAAGTTTCATGCTCGTCGTAATTAAACTGTGTTATCTCCTTACTGACTCTCGGATCCATTCGAAGATAGCCGCGTTAGCATACTCGTAAATAATATTACCCGCGCTTTATAATCCATAATGGTCAGCCGGAAATTATTTATAACGAGAAAGAAAGAAGGAGAGGGAGAGAGAAAGAGAGAGGAGGAGAAAGAGAAGGGAAAAGAGAGAAGAGATAGCGGAGGGGAGAGCTTGGAACTATACCATTTTAATAATCTCATCGAAGCGCTCACCGCGGCGTGGTTACTTCGTTAAGAGCCCTCAGGCTCCATTATCAATCGATTTACATCACGTCCATGCGACACCGGGAAGATATACCGTCTTCCACAAACGAGACTACCTAGACACCATGGTGTTAAGAAAGAAGGACCTCGAAGAGCCTTTCCGTGTATGAAACGCGGTCCAAGGTGTCCCGCGCAATAAACATTCACCACGCCCACTATGTATAATTATGCGCGGGCTTGTAATTACTGGGTTGTAAGCTGTAAACCGGCGAGGCGAGTCGATGGTGCGCCCGTAGAAACCTGACACCATATATTAGTCGCGTCGAATGAAATATCGGCGTGTCCGAAAGCGACGTCGGATTAGCTCACTCGGGAGTATCCGTCTTCGACGGACGTGTCGTGTCCACGAGGACGACGATGTGTCCTCTCTAACGAGAAAGCTTCTTCGCGCGCCAACGGAAACACGTGGCTCAGTTCACGCGTCGCCGACTATAAATCTCATCCGCGACGCCAACGGCGATGCGCGAAATGTTTGCTCGAAGAAGCCAATATCCGGAGCACAGGATCGGCTTAATGAATCAAGCATCGCCGATGACTCATGCGGAGCCATCATGAGGAGTCATGAGAATTATCCAGAAAGGATATGATCGTCCGTCATAACGTCATAACGTCGGATGAAAAGAAAGGCTATTTCGACTCGTTAGTCGAAGCAAGTGTTCGCTTGGCCATTTCCTCACCCAACGATCGGGAGGTGCCCGTAAACGGAGAACCGTGCAGACGCACTCAGCGTTGAAATACACGCTTGAAGTATAGGTCATTGCGTGCGTATAGGTGCCTCGATGCAGAGAATCACTCCGCGATAACTTCGATGCGTAATTTACGCGGGATGCCTCGACGCGTGTCTCTCTGAAAGACGAAAGTGCGGTTACAGACAATAAGCGCGATTTATGATGCGAGCGAGACGAGACAAAGACTCCACGCCGGATCCACGGCACTTCCTGCGACCTCGCAGCGCGAGTCATCATCCCCGGAATGCCGTGGGTGATCTTAATTCAGTCGCGGAGAACGAGGCGTGGATAATCCGGGCACGACAAGGAGATGCAGGCCATCTCCTGCCGGAAAATCCGTAGCGAATGCAATCACCGCCCGCAAAAAGCCGCCCCTCGCGTTCCGACGCGACGCCGGATGTGAGCTCGCACCTTTCTTTCGCGCTCGCTCACTTGACGAATTAGCGAACGTGCGTCCGGAGTGACCCAGCATTCTGTGCAGGAAACGGAAACTGCTCTAATTTCGCTGATTTTCTTCTTCTCACACTGTGAAAATGCGGCAGAGTTGTGTCAATTTTCCCAATGTAATAATTGACTCGAACATATATGTTTCAGTTCAACTAATTAACGATCGATCCCAGCGAAATCAACCGAAGAATGTGTAATTGACGATTTATTTCAACGAATTCAATTAAAGACTGTTCAATTAACGATTGATATGAGCAAAAGGCATCAAAGATTATTCAATTAATAATTGATCTTAGCAAATTTAATTAAAGGTCGTTTAATTAAACGTTTAATTGACGATTGATATGAGTAGATTTAATCAATTCAATTGAAGAACGTTTGATTGTTCAAGAATATAATTGATTTTATGGGTGATATTTTCATTCCCAGAGCATTGTGTGGCATCGTAGAAAATGCCGATGATCGAGTACAACCTGCCTTTGAAAGCATATCAATCGTCACCAAGCAATTTTCGATTGCATCGATTAAATTCTATTGCTCCTATTAATCGTTAATTAAACATCCTTTAATTAAATTTGCTAAATTCAGTCGTCAATTAAGCGGATTTTAATTAAATTTGCTAAGTTCAATTATCAACTAAACAATCTTTAATTCCTTCCATATCAATCTTCAACTGAATGGTCTTTAATTGAATTCATTGAAACCAATCGTCAATCGAACGATTTCCGATTAAATTTGTTGAAATCAATTGTCAATGAAACGGTCCCCAATTGAATTGACGCATATTAATCGTCAATTGAACACGACATATTTAATTAAAAAAGTAATTAATTACTCGCAATCCTGAAATGCGGACGGAAATCTTGCAAATCCTCAAACTTCCGGCCGACAGGAGGAATAGTTTATCGAAATATCCTTTAACTTATTGAGTCGTCAATCAGGATTCTTCGATCGACGATCGTAAGAAATATGAGAAACGCGACGTAAATAAGCTGCCGTCTTACTCTCGAAAATATCATATACGATATTTCTATGAAAAGCTATAGTTTATGTCATATATTGTAGCTTTTCATAGAAACATCGTATGCGATATTTCTAAAAAATACAGCCCCTGATCGCTATATTCGACCCCGAGGCGGACTCGCTGCGTGTCCATTAAGGACCCCATGACCGCAGGATGATGCGCGTCTTTCATCTGAGAAAGCCCGTAGCGCTCTCTTCATAAGGTCGTAAAGTATCATCGTTAAGAGCGGCTCTTCGAACGGTAGCGAGCGAGCACTCGCGAGAATCCGCGCGCGAAACTGTATGCAGCGAAATTAGCGTTAGCACCTCTTGTACGGCGGCGGCGGCGGTGGAAAAAACGGAAACAAGACCGTGAATGGGCAGTCGTAACGGTATCCAGCCGTCGTAAAACAGCGTGTTCATTCGGTTTCGAGAACAGGTTCGGCCGAACGCCGTCTTCGTCTTCGAGGCGGAGGAGGGACGCCCCATATCTCTGGGAAGTTCTCTCTCATTCTCGCCCCGCGCGTAATTACCAGCACGGTCACATAAATAAACCGGCTATCTGGCCGCGCCGGAGATAACCGAGATCGAAGCGGAGGAATTCGTTGCGTGTGGTTAGGCGTCGCGTCGCTCGAAGACGACAAGGAAGAGGCAGGATAGGCCAAGTATTTTATTAGCACCTGATGGAGAGAACAGCTCCGGCCGACAGAACGAGAAAAGAAAGTTGCACGAGCGCGAACGAACCGCAGAATCGAATTGAAGGCACGGGTAAACGATCGTGCTCGATTACAAAGCGGGAACGGCGGGAAAGTGCGTCCGCCTGTCGGAGACAAATTTGCCGGAGCGCGACTCAGCTTTAATCCTAAATTATTAATGCCGTAAGAGGATTAACGGTAATATGTAGAGTGATTGGGATAATAATCGGCGACAGAGTGTGAGAGACGAATAAGTCCTTTGGTCGAGAAACTAGCAAACCGAGGTGTTGATAAGTTTCACGATTATGAATAAATCGCTGCTAACGAGTCAAGCGTCCGCTGAAGGATTAACGTTGAAATTTCGACGCGAATTCTTAATTTTATATGCGAGTTATACAGCCTGCCTAACACACACTTGATGTGCAAATAGAACTCATCGAATTGAACAAGAGTCCTTGCAAGGATGATATTTTTTCATGAAGAGCATTGGACAAAAGAAACCGAATGGACTATCGAAGCAAAATCTCCCGAGAACATCGTGATCATTCGAGGTGATCGTTCTTCATGTAGATGCGACTACGAAGAATTAATGACGTTTACAAAAACTACAAATCGCAGAATGACACATGCCTTTATCGGCATTACTTCGAAGTAATAATCGCCGGTGCGCTTCGATTACGACTGGAAGACGAGCGGTGGGTGAGAACCTAAAAAAGAAACCGCAAGTCAGCAATGACCAGGTGCCTCGTAAAAGCCGCATTATGGCGGCGCTAATGGTTTTTCGTCGCACTTTTACACACCGTCGGCTCATAACCCGCCACTACACGGCTGGGAAAGTGCGTGCGATAAAATCGCGCGCGGGACCGCTATTAGCCGGCGCGTTTTCGCGAGCAGAGGTCGCGCACTAACGAAATCCTATTACGCGAGAAATCGCGAGGAGAAGCCTGACTGTGTCGAAGTCCAAAACTTCGGGCCATAAATACGCCCGTAAAACTGATCGTTCCGGCTGAACTTCAGCATCCTTCGGCAGCGGATCATGCTTTTATCGCGAGCAACGTGTGATTCGCGGTAACCTCGAGGGACGTTAACGACCTATCGCGAGAATCGCAAAACGCGATGATGATCGTCGTGGTCGAGGGAGAAAGGAGGTTTCTCGGCCCGCGGCTACCGAAAAAAGCGGTCGGCTAACCCTTGCATTCTCCTTCTCCCTTTATACCCTTCCTTCGCACTTTACGAAGCAGTCATTCCGCCTCTTTCTTATCATCTTCGTTGTTTTAGTCTCGTTAAGGGACGAGAAGGGCTCGAGAGAAGCAACGTTCCCTCTCCTCCCATCATGAACGAACTCGCTAAGATTCTTTTTTGTTTCTCTATACAGATCTATACAGATCTATACAGTTGAAAAGAGAGAAAGAGAGAGGTGGGGGAGAGAGAGAGAGAGAGAGAAAGAGGTAGAGAGAGGTGGAGAGTATATTCCATCCCCTGAATATTCTGTCTATGCATCAATTTACTTATATAATATAATTGGTCAATTTATTCTCGAGAAAAAAAATCGTATAATTGATAGTTATCATCCCTACGAATTCAGAGTTAAAAACAACGTCTCACCTGCCGATCGTGCCGAGACTACCCCTCTTCTTATCCGGCAGACAATAGTCCGGGCTTTTGGTGGTGAATAGCAGATTATCGTGGTGATATAGGGGCGGTAACCTGCCGCCGGATCGCGGTCTGACCTCAGCCGCGGTGGCGTATCTGCGGAGCAAACGACTTCCGGCGGCGGACGGCCCGGTCGCGCCCAGACCGCGCCAGCAGGTACGCACGCTGCAGGATCCCGACACCCCGTGGCACTTGCACTCCAAGGTCAAGGACTGCTCGACCGCCTGTCGAGTCACCAAAGTATTAATTATAATAAGGAGTCGAGGAGTAGGTAGAGAATCTAGCAGTATTGATTGTTCGAACAGCAAACCGTGATTTCTGGGAGACGCCTTGTGTTCAGAAATCATTTGGACAAGAAACTTTGGACACAAATTCTGTTCTTCCGAGTATAGGTCGCAAGTGCAACTCACCCTCCTGCCCGCCCTGTTGTTGTGCATATTGACCGCGTGCATGAACTTGGCGGTCGCGCCAGTACCAAGCGGCGTAGCTCCCTGAAGGAACCGCTTCGCCATCCTCGAGGCGGATCTCACGTCGTCCCCGCAGCCACCCCACTTGAAGGAGTTTCTCGCGGACAGCGTGTCGAAAGAGACGGACATGGTTGTGAAGGAGGAGGGTGAGATGAGTGCCGAGGGTGACGGCGGCTCTCTTCGCGGTGGCGTCGCGCAGGAACAAGCCGCGAGACTCCCCAAAGCGCATCCTCGCGCGAGTCGCCAGACTGCGGCTGCAGCCGACATCGCGTAGACGAAAGCTTGCTCTCTCGTGCCTGCGATAAACGGCGTTAGCCCGAAATTGGAGACATGTATATAAAAAAGACCGAATTTTTCCTTCTTACAACTCGATATCTTTTGAAAATTAATCATCAATATTGAGCATAAGAAAATTATCTTATGCTCAATATTGGTGATTTTTTCATTCTAAAGCTTCTTTAAGTTTAGAAAACCGCAAATATTTCAATCAAACTCCACTTAGATCCATCTAATTTTTCTTAATTTTCACAGTAAATTTCAAATTTGCTTAGTTTACAAAATTTTTAGCTGTGGAATAAAATAACTAATGTATCTTATAATTGCTGGCGTTCTGTGTGAGAAAAAATATCTAAAAGATATTAAATATTTATTTAATGGACACTAATAATATATATTTGTTTAAATCTAAATTCTTTCGTTTAAATAGAATAAATAATTACTTTCACGAAAAGTTCAGGTTCTTTTAAGGTTATAATATAAGTAAATACTTTTTATATTTCAAAAATTATTAGTACTCACCGAATAAATATATTTTATTTTTTTAGATATTTTCGCTCTCAATGTAGTGATAATTTTTTTAAAGATATGTTCACACGATTGAAAATTTCTGAAAGTAATACTATATAAATTAAAACACAGTACGCTGAGAAAACAACAATTTAAATTTTATTTATGAGATATAAAATTTATTTTTGTAAAATAAAGCTTCTTCCTGATAAATAAAATTTATTTGTATGAAAAAATGTATATGTCCCATAAATAAATTTTCCAACATATTTTTCTCAGCGTACCAGTATACAGAACATAAAGCTCTTGTAAAAATTACACGACCATTTCCCTGAACTTCCTTTCGCGCTATAATTTTATCGTTATATCTTAATTGTATTCCATGCAGCGTTGCGACTGTACCGTATCGTGCTTCGTCGCGTAATGTTCGCCAATTAAAGGAGCAACCTCCGGCTCGCATCCGCGCACCAAAAATCGCAGACTCTTCTTTCAACGTCGATCGAGATGATTGAAGGAAAGCCGATTATCATGCGCCACGTTGAGAGAGAGAGAGAGAGAGAGAGAGAGAGAAAGATAAAAAGAGAGCAGAAAATACGTTACGCCGCGTTCGTGTGGTCGTGGCTGTGCTGTATTTCCTCATCGGCGCTTCTCGGTTTTCTCATTAACGGAGGATACCTCGATATCTCGGGCGCACTTTTATTTACAATATAATCATCGTGAAACGCGAGCGATTAATCCGACCGAGGCCGGTCACGAGGTAGGAGGATAAAGGCCGAGGGAAGCCCACGGTTTGTTAATGATCGCTAATTGAGGCGCGCTTGCCGGCAGGTCTTCCTATTTACGTCGGAATTCCTCAAAGGATATCCGATACGTTTCCGCAGGACTTTTCATCGACTTTCGTGCCGACCCCTCCTTGCTCCCCCGACCTTTTCCTCCTTCCTGTCGACGTTTATTCGCGCAATACCACCGATCATGAATTCATTACGGACGAAATCAAGTCGTAATAATCGACGAGACTGAGAAAAAACGTGTGTAAAAACGAAGCTAAGTGGTCGAAAGATGAAAATAATCTTTGCACTCAATATATCGACTTGAGATTTGACGCTTAAATATTTGATAGTCGAGAAGATTTACGACGTATCTCATATTTAAGGCACTGAGAGAAATTGTTCCATAAGAAATGAACGAACAGATATTTCCAATCAAAATTCCAATAAATTTTTGTATCCGATCAGGAAACATCTGATGAGAAATATCGATTCTTTTTTATCGGTTTATCTGATGAAATGTCATTATGATCGGAAATATTCGATTAAATTTAATCAGATATCTTGATTGAATATCAATTCATCGGTATTTTGATCAAAAATATCCATTTGTTAATTTTTCTCAATCTTCCAAATATCAGAGTCGCGTAAAACTTTATAGAAAAATGCGAAATGTCAATGTCTGACTTATTTTTCGCTTCTCCATTTTGCCTCTCCTTTTTGCAAGACTTATTCGCGTGGCGCAGAATATACGACTGGCACGAACCTGTGAGCAATTCAGGCGTGTAGTCAGGCGCACGCTCGATGCTGCTGCAATTCCATCTGCGGTGTCGGAACGCCTGCTGGCATACCGTCGACGTGTCTTTGGCGGCTTGCACTAAACTAGGCATCACATCCGGCGTAGCCCTGCAGGCCCTCGCCTGCTTCCTCTCCAGCAAACCGGCGCTCTTCGCGCTGGTGCATGCCTCTCTGGTCCACGCATGCATGTCGCCGGCGTGGCCGAGGCCGCTGCGAAAAAGATTTTTCATTTGTACGTCCGAAAATACGTAAAGAAATGATTACTTTCTAAATCAAGGTTGAAATGATAGCTATGAATGAGTGATCGAAAATACTCGACTTGTCCCCGCGACATCGATTTATTTCCGTGATACCACGAATTATTTTCCGCGTTTCTCCTCACACAACTCTGTCTTTCATGACTGAATTTTTTGTTATTTGGAGACTAGATGAAAAATTTGGTTGTAGAAACAGAGAAATTCCTGCAGGAAGTTTCTGTTCATCCAATTACTCTGTTATCTCGACCGAATTATAATGCAGTTATATACTCAGACAAACGTTTTCAGTCACAGTAACAGAGACATTAATTCTCGTCAGCGAATTTTCGTCTGATCCTCACTCAGCTGCACTTGAGACTTTTTTCCCATGCAGATGTACAAAATCGTGAAGACCATAGACGATTGTAGAACGCTCGCGTAGCAGCTTTCGGAACGAAGGGTTTCGTTTTCTACCCGTCTTCAACGCTCCCGAGACACGCGAGCGTGATATTCTGGGGTGAGAACAGTCGGTATGTGCGACTCCGATTCCGAACGATCGCCGCGAAGCCGACAGCCGCGAGCTATCCTACCTTTGATAGAGAGAGAAAGAGAGAGAGAGAGAGGGAGTGAGAAAGAGAATGGAGCGCCTCGGTGCAGCCCCGAGCCGTAAATCAGGGGGGTGAATTTCGAAAATTATAGGGCACAAGGCTGAAAAGGGCTCGCCTCTAAGCGCCGCGGCTTGAATACGCGCGCGCCTCCTGCGAGCGAGGGAGCGAGTAAGAGAGAGAGAGAGAGAGAGAGAAAACAACGGGGGATAATAATTACGGACACCTGAAAGTCGGAATGGCCTGTGCACACGGCCGCCACGTCTAGACGTAACAACCCTGGGAATGGCCGGATCGCCAACCCCGTGTCACGGAGCCTACCCTCGGAATTACCCTATCAAAAGCCCGCGGCTCTCTAATTCATTATTACTGTCGCCGCCGTCTCCGCTGCCGTTCGTTGTCGCAAGCTCACGACTCGCTCCTTCTCCCTGCTCGAGATGACATTTCGGGACGCGTTACGACCCGACCCGGGAATCTAATTTCCGCGCGAGCCTCTCGCGCAGCTCGGAACGAGCGTGCACTTACGACTCGCGGAATCTAAGGAGCGCGATCCTTGCGCGAGATATCCGCGCGCGCGCGCGAACAGCGTCATGACTTCACTTATCTCTTCACTAGAAACTCATCTCTTTGCTCGTATCAACGTCAAATGCCGAACTCTAATACCGTTTTTCCTCCTCTATATTTATAGTAATCATTCATCTACATGATTATATTTACAAATACCAAACATTTCTTCCTCAGCGTGCCTCGCGCGCAAATAACCGCGGAGAAGCCAGACTCATCATCATTCACGTCGGTGGTCGAGTCTGTTCCGGCAGATTCGATATACTGCCGCGCGATGACGTGTGCTTCAAACAATTTCAAATTTAAATCACTGACTCGCAAGGCTCTGTCTGAACTGTGATCTTTGACTTTTCTTCTTCTTTAAGACTTCTGATCTGTGTGACTTTTCACACCGACACAAACAAAGAACGGACTCTGGTCTCGACAAAGTAGTGATACATCGCGCTCTCGGCGAAAAAGAAGCAGGACGTCCCACACAAGGATGGCAGTAAAAGATTACGCTTCTTTACGAGGGAATCGTAGTCTCGCGCGCGTTCTTCGCACGCACGGCTCATTAAAGCTACACGCATGAAGGGCGCGCGTGACTCTCGCATATTCGAGACGCAGTCGTGGGATGCTTTTTCACGTCCAACCGAGATAGATCGGATCGCGGCGTGAAAGGTGAAAATATCCTCCGGCGCGGTCCCAGAAATTTCCACGATGCCGTCCGTAAGTTTTAGCAGCCATAAATATATTCAACCCAAATTATCAGCTCATTAAGGCGATCCGCGATGATCACTTCGCCGATCCGATATCGGACGCGGACTAACGAGGTGCGCCTCGGAGAGCTCGCGCATAATACGCTGACAAAATAACAAATGTAGCGGCGCCCGTGTTCCGTGATATCGTGGCAGAACCACCGAGGGTTGATTATCGGCTTGATATCTTAATTGACCGCGGCAACACGAAATACGAGTTAAATCGAGAGCCAGCCGGAACAAATTCGACCACCGACGTGGCTGACTGTGAGTTTGGTCTCTCCTCAATTATTTACACGCAAGATATACATTAAGAAAAAAATGTTTGCTATATTTGTAAGTATAATCACGTAGAGAAATAATTACTATAAATTAACTATAAGTTAAATTAGTTAAAATGTAGTTAAATTTAAATTAACTATAAATTATTATAAATCAACTATAAATCAATAATTAAATTATTATAATTAACTATAAATAATAAATCATAATTACTATAAATTACTATAAATTAAGATAAAAAAAATCATTTTTTAAATTAAATTCTGCTATAATATTAATGATAATAACCTCATATGCATGTTACTAATACTATTTTTTTAAATAAATAGAGCCAAAAATAATTATAATTTTAGTTAGATCAACCAATTTTTTCTCTTAGTACATGTATAAATTAAAGCGGCTGTTAATGTATTTTTGATATTATGTGTTTTTTTCTGGCTTTTATCTTTAACGGAGCACGCGGAGATTGAAATCGCGTTGATTGTAGTAATTAGACGACTATCAGGTCTCATTAGATTGCGTATAATAATAATAATGCGATATCGCGTGTGACCAGAGTATTATTGCAGTTTTCTTTTTGTGCGGAAATTGAACGCTTATATGTTTGCAAGAAAAAGTAAAGGTTGTTGCAAAGACAATCTTTGTCAATGTCCCGCGAATGACGTTGTAGCGGACTAAACGTGTAATTATGTAAATGATCAGCCTTAAGTAGCTGGCAGGCAGCGATTACTTTGAGACATCGGCGTGATATGTTTCACCTCACTAAAACGCAGTTTCTCGGCTTAAAAGGAAGAATTGCAGCTAATAAAACTGACACGCGCAATAATCGAATCTTTAGATTCGTGATTTTTACAGTTATTAGATGCTGTAATTAGAATGCTTTCTAATGACAAGATTTTGATTTCCCTGTCGGAAATAATAACAGAGAGTAGCGACAGATGACGGCTCGAGAGAGAAATTATATTTACATGTCGAAAATTAGAAAGCGTAACCGTACGCTTTCGTCGCGCTAGATTTCAATTACGATTTTAAAAGCGCTTTAGGCAATGTGTACTTTAACAGATGGCAAAAGGTAGAATTGTCCTGAATTTGGGTGAGGAAATATCTCACAATCTCTCGTTCAATATTTAAGAAGCACTCTTTTAACTTGCATTATGCATAATAATTACACGAGATCTCCTCTTGTTTTCTCGAAAATTGTATTTTCCTCGAGGTGCACTTTCGACTATAAAATAAATCGACCAGCTACTTATTTGGGACGTATGACGAACATCTTATATAATGAATGAATACGATATTTGATCGATTCTGAATATACTATTTGATTGATTTGTCCTACAATTGAGAATGCAACACCTCGAGGAAGTTTTCGACAAAAGAAAGAGAGAGAGGGAGAGTGTAATGATTATATAAAGTGCAAGCCAAAAGCTTGCTGAATGCTTCTTATACTGTAAAATATTTCCACACCTATTTCAGCTTTTGCAATCTGTTAAAATATAACAGGATTCCAAACAATTTATTAATTTTTCAATTAATTATCGTGTTTAATTGACAATTAATATGAATCAATTCAATTGAAGACCGTTTAATTGACAAATGATTTCACCAAATTCCATCGAAAACCGTTCAATGGACGATTGATATGTGCGCAGAGAATCAAAGATCGTTTAATTAACAACTTAGCAAATTTCATTAAAGGCCGTTTATTTGACAATTGAACTTTTATTTTATTTTAATTTAATTTAATTAAAATTTTATTTTAATTTAATTTAATTAAAATTTTATTTTAATTTAATTTAATTAAAATTTTATTTTAATTTAATTAAATTTTAATTTAATTCAATTGACGACTGATATAAACGAATTCAAGCGATTTAATCGAAAATCGTTCAGTGGCGATTGATATTGGTGAGTTCTCTTTAGAGCTTCTTGATCATCGATATCTTTTACGATGCCAGATTGCCAGGTATGAATATCATTCACAAAACCAGTTGTGACCCTGAGAAGTTGCACACTCTTTTACTTAATTAATTGAATTTGTTCATATGAGTTGTCAGTGAAACAGTTTTTAATTGAATTTGTTGAAATTTATCGTTCTTCAATGAAATATATTCGAATCAGTCATCAATTAGTTAAACTGAAATATATTTGTTACAATTAATTATTAAATTGAGAAAAATGATATTTCTTACAACTCTGAGGCACACATTGTCGAGAGCGTATTTAAAATCGTAATTGTAATTTGACGTACAACGTCTCAACGTCATTTCAACGTTAAACGTGAACCATTTGATCTCAAGTTACCTATCTACTTATTTTATCATGCGTAACGTTGCTTCAGCTCGAGAGCCATACGTGCAAATTTAGCACTAAATACGCGCTCAAAGTATCGTGCAGCGCGGCAACGCGCCTTCAGATGGGCGATTTCGAGTCCTGTCGAGAGGTGGTTGCCGCCTGACATCCGGGAGGACAATTCACCGTCGCGAGACATGATATTTAATGAGTACACATGATATTTAATGAGAGGTACACGCGACAGCGAGTTGAGTCCGCGCGGTCGGCGAGGTCCAGCTGCATGTATGACGGGGCCACTTATATGCGACTAGATACGATTTTAAGCCGCATAACGCATCGCTCAGTTTCTACCCGCAGCTTCTACTCGCGCGTCAAGTATCGCCGCGGTAATTTACGAGCCACTCTCCTAAGACGAATGCACGACTATTTGCTATCGCATATCGGATAATTAATTATCGGCGTGTGAGTATATAACGCGCGGGGCATCGGTC